CCCGATTTACCATTAATTATGACGGAGCACAAAGTAAGTCATAAATCAACGTTACAGAGCATCACAAACAGGTTTAACACCATTGACATCAACCTAACCAGTCATGTAGTCGATCGTGATCTTAAGCTCTTTACCTCGGAGATTAAATAATGATCTCAATGCCTATTTCCGAGTGGAAGAGAGAAGGTAGATTTGGAAGTTACATAATAATCACAATGCCTGAATCCAAATCACATCCACCTTCTCCTTAAAACAATAAATTAAATTATGAGTCCATATCCCATTACACTCCGGTGATATGCTTTAAGACAACAACTTATGCATAAAAACTTATTTGCCAAAAAAACTTTCACCTAATTATCTAAGGAAAGGAAGCACTTACTTACTACTAGGGAGGAACWCTATGTATAAATTTATAAGTGCTTCTAAGGTTTTAAGGCAATTAACACTAAAAATGTGCAATCCTYCTAGCGGTTAAGCCATTTTCAAACCCATGTTAACATTATTAATGGAATTCCTAAATTCTCTCACTTTTCACTTAATATTCACATTTCATATAAACAAGTGGATTTTTTTAGGAACTAGAGTGTATGGCAACAAAATACAACGTTATACTTGTTATAAAGTCTTAAAAGTATGAAGTGAACTCACCTTGAAGGGTTTAGGGAAAAACCCAAAATGGGTGGCCACACGACCACTCCAATAAAACAGCAGCCGAGAGACAGAAGGGGAAGGAAGTGGCTCCGGCCGTTCCAGACGCGGCGTGAGAGGGGGGGTTTCTGGTACGACACAACCTTGGCGTGGCACGGGGACAGCAGCTGCGGCTGTTTCTGGTTCTTCCGAACGGCAGTTTCGGCCTTTTCTTGACCCCTTTCGAATAGTGACTTCGGCTATTTCTCGTCCCTACCCAACGCAACTAAGACTGCTGTGATTTGCTTCTTCTAAACAGCAGCTAAGGCTGTTTCTTCGTGCCCCAACAGCGGCTATGGCTGCCCGTTCGTGTAGCAATAGCAGCTACGACTGCTCCTTCGCGTAACAGCAGTAGCTACTGCTGCTTCCCTTGCGTAACAACAGCAGCCAAGGCTGCTCTTCGTGACTCGACAGAAGTGTCGATTTTTTGTTTACTGTCGACCAAAAGTGCAGCTATCGATTCCCTTCGGCTCTTCCTCTAAATAGCAACTATCGTTTCCTTTCGGTTCTTCCTCTAAACAGCAGCTACGTTGTTGTTTCTTCTTTCAATCTCGTAGCTCCAACTCCCTTTTCCTTATTTCCTCTTCTCTTTTTGTTTTTCTTTCTTCAAGATGGCAGGAAAAGAAGGGTGAGACCTAACCTCCTGTATTTTTTTCTTTTTACTTTTGAGGATAGGACATGGTAAGGTCATAGGACTGCAAACCCCCTTAGGTCATCACTTTATAGCTTTCTTTTCCAATGTACTTATTTGACTATATATATATATGTATATATATATATACACACACACACTCACTCTAGACAAGGAATTAATTAGATAAAATAAGTGCTCTAAACTTCTAATAGATAAGTAAAAAAAAGGTAATACATTAGTAACGAGACGAGAATCCTTGCCACGAACAGAGCATGGACTAGATGAAAATCTTCGAGTGTTACATATTTGGATCATTTCGTTAATTTATGAAGCAAATACGTAAAATATCGCTAAAATACCGATTTCGACATTGTAGGGTCATTTTGGTAACTAAACGGGATAAATAATCGAAATGGGGTCAAAGTTTGCATTTTTCAAAATACAAATAAACTTGATGAAAGTTTCATAAAGTTATTATGGAAAAAAATAGCTTTCTAAAACTTCAGATTAACACAACTCAATGTCAGCTTACTGGTTAGCGCTAGAAGCTTCAGGGCTGAGTTCGTGGGATCGAAACTTGCCCTCAGCATGCGTCCTATACTATTTTTCCTAAAGGTAGACGAACGTGGGTTTGGGCCTGGTCGATACCGGCCCTTCACCCAGGCTAAAACAGGGACGAAACAGCAGCCATGGCTGCTCGTTTTCAAGTTTAATAAGCTTGAAAACGGCTCGTTTTTTGGTCTTTTTTTCTTCATTCTTTTTGCACCAATCTCTTGGTAATATTTTTACCAACATTTTGGCATAAAGAACACGAATTTTCATCAAGAAATGAGTTCCATTTACTCATTTAAAGTTTTGTTTTTAAAACTAAAACTCAACAACTTAAAAACATAAAAATAGAACCACAAAAACACAAATATGAGACATGAGGCTACTGGGGTTTGATAGAGTACTTAAAAACGAATCCATAGACATAAAAACCAAAATATTTGGTTAAGAATCTCACCCAAAATCGATGAAAAACCGAGATTTTTCAACCCGAACTTCAAACTCAGATTTCTCTCTCAATAATCGCTCATTTTCTTAGCTATTTGATCCCAAACGTTCCTAAGCCAGTGCTATACAATTTATATGCCAAGATTTTTGGCTTATTAATTGAAGAAATCTGACAAATCGCGAGTTTTAAGCTGATGGGCCGTTTTCTTTAAACATATGTGTACTGTTGGCAAAACAGGTCCCTCATCTTTGAAGAAGATGACATTCGTCCCCTTGAACTTTCTGACATTTACAATCAAACCCTTCCTGACGTGATATCTTACATTTTTGGTCCAATAATTAAAAGAAAACACTTTTATTTTATTTATTTTTTTCTTTTTGTCTTTCTTTTCATAATTTATTTATTTAAGATTTCTGTAATTATTTCCTTTAGTTTATTACGTAAATATTTTAACACTTCAAATAAATTTAAAAAAATATTTAAAGGCTCATATAATATTATTTATATATTTAAAAAAATGGGTTTTACAACTCTCCCTCCCTTGAAATAAATTTCGTCATCGGAATTTCTACTTAATTTAGGCATACTTATTATATCATTATTTCAGATTTCTTCTACCACGAGAGAATCTTTTGGTCATCCATTCTTATTCTAATCATCTATTTATTTCAGTCTTACATGCATGGCCAGTTCGTACCTATTATAGTTTAATCCTCTAATGTCCATAATAACAATTGAATCCCAAATTTTTCAACCATTGATTGGTAACACGCCAATAATATGCCTATTAATCATAGTATATTTATCACCAATGATAATCTTTAAAATTGTGACAAGGTAATTCAACTAAAAACAATTGAACTTAAGACGAGTTAATTGACACACAAAACTAGTAAATTCATGCTTAGGTATTTGATAATTAACAAAGTACCTGATACCGCGCATGGTGCAACTTATGCCTCTTCAGCAGTCATTTGAAAAACTTGTCCTTAGGTTGTAGACACCTCGGGTTTCTTGCGGTTCGTCCTTCGAGCAACTTCGGTTGCACAAGATTCTTTTTGGGACACTCATTGGAGCGATGTCCGATAGCCCCACAAAAATAGCAAGTAAATATTGTTTTGCATTCCTTTGACCTATGACCAGGTTTCCCACAACTAAAACATACTCCTTTACCATACCTACATTCACCATGATGGAATTTTCCGCAAGTGACACATGCGGTCGAAGTTCTAATATTTTCTTCCGAAACTCGAATTTTCTTGGACTCGTTAACATTGACAGCTTTCCTCTTCAATATCTTATTAGAGGCATCTRGGACATAACTATCCTTTTCAGCAAGGGTGGCAAGTTTAACCGCCTCTTGAAAGATCTTAGGTTTTGACATTCCCACCAATCTCCTAATGTCCTTTTTTAGTCCATTAGCAAATCGATCTACCTTTCTCTTCCCGGGAACGACTTGATGTTCAGCAAATCGAGATTTTTCTATAAAAGCCTCTACATATTTCTCCACAGTCATACTTCCTTGCTCTAAACGTAAAAACTCACTTTCTAATATCCTCATCTGGAGTGGAGAGAAATACCTCTCACTCATTAATCCCTTAAACTCATCCCAAGAGAGAGATGCAGTGTTTGCCAATCCCCTAGTGACACGAACTAATTTCCACCAATGAAGCGCATTTAACTTAAACATAATTGATGCAAATTATGCCATGTCACTAGGTGCACAATGACAAGTCAGGAAGCAACTTTCTATCTCGTCTAACCAGTTCATAGTTGCTAAAGGACCATTTTTCCCCTCGAAAATAGAAGGACGCGTGCTGGTGAAGGATTTGTAACTACATCCTTTGTTAACRGGTTTCTTAACTTCTTTATTATCGGAGTGTGCCTCCCCGTTCGACTCCTCATGATTGAGAGATTCATTATTAGTCGACTCCTTAATTTCATAAGTTTCATTTTTCGAAGGTCTTTTATGCTTCAAAGGATCTTCTACCATTTTAAGTGTTGCAGTTTGGATTTGCTCAAGCATTCCAGGTAAAGCAGTGCGTACACAACGTGCCATCTCTTCGGCAATGTTCACTTCTGGCTGTGTAGGCTGGATCGGTGGTCTACTAGGACCACTTCGGCTTCGGGTTGGGGTTGAGGTCACTCCCTCGACTATGTTATCTTCACAACCATTAGGATTCATTGACCTTGTCACTCTCTTCGACATTCTATAATAATGAACATTTCGACCTTTAGTATACCTATGCACACTATTTTATTCTTATTATAAAATTTCACTATGCACAAAAAGTAAACTTCACGTATTTTTCTTCTTCGCTCTATGGTTGGGACTCGTCCCATCACTAACCATCCCACTATAAAGATATACGAACCATACATATATATAATACATGTAACTTTATTACCAATTTTGCATATAACAAAATCATTTAATGCAAGTATCTCATAGAGCGTTCCAAATAATTTATACCAAGTACGAATCACAAAGTGATAGGGTTAAAACATGTTTCTCATAATTTTTTTTTGTAATGCTCATAATCCTTAACATGTGTACTCCTTTCTGAGTCACTAAAACTTTCTATCTCCAAATTTTAGTTGTCACTTATCCCCCTTCTAACTTTTCTTCGGCTTACAATAGTTACTATGCGAATGTATAGGATTGTTGGTTAACTCTTATCTAGGCGTCCTAAATCATCAAAGAAACTTAAGACAATAGCTAAGTAAAAACTCATGATTACTTAATGACTGTCCAGTACTTAAGTCAAACACTTCTTATTAATCCGTTCAACTACCAATAAAAATGATCAAACCGGTATCTTAAAGGTTAGAATCCTTTTGTTGCCCTATGTAGCCTTTCGGAGGTCCACAACCTAACCAATCAAACATTTCTAAATGTCACTTCATATGGTTATATCGACTAGAAAATAAGTAGTGATCAAACTTAGAGATAATCATTCCTTAGTCCTAGGAGTGGAAAATTAGCAATTTCATAATTCACTTTGACTAAGAGTTTCATGACTAAAGATCACATAATGTCATTCACAGACTCTCACCATCTGATTCTTAGTTTAAGTCTAAGCTAATAATAACTTAGTTCACTTAAACTACGGCTCTGATACCAACTTGTCACGCCCCGATATTTTTTTTCTTTCGTTCGAGTGTCGAGACGTCATTCTTAATAACTTATGTCATGAACAAAAATACGAACTTAAAATTTCAAACACACATAATATGTTTAACATAATTGCGGAAGCGTAAAATACTTTAACGTAATCAATGCTAATTAAAATATCTAATCAAGCATGATTCGAAACATAGTCCCGTATTTCTTCATTCAACTCGTCTACTAACAAATGACACCTGAGATATATACATGTATAGTATAAGCTAAAAGCTTAGTGAATACAACATGGTTTCATGATCACATGCACATATAAACAATGTTTTAGTGTATTTTAATTATTATCTTGCAAGTGAGGCCTCGGCTCGTCATTTTTATTTGCGTATGTGGTGTATTCTATGGACGAGGACTCCAAGACCTCGGAATTGCAAGCCTTCCTTTCATGTCCAACCCACCCCGTACGGTGGACGAATCTTGCCAAATCATACTAGTTGCATATTATTTATTTGCAATACTCACTCATTAATGCAAATGATCACATGCACACATAAACAATGTTTTAGTGTCTTTTAATTATTATCTTGCAAGTGAGGCCTCGGCTCGTCACTTTTCTTTGCGTATGAGGCGTATTCTATGGACGAGGACTTCAAGACCTCGGAATTGCAAGCCCTCCTTTCATGTCCAACCCACCCCGTACGGTGGACGAATCTTGCCGAATCATACTAGTTGCATATCATTTATTTGCAATACTCACCCATTAATGCAAATCTCATCGTGACATGCAACATACWTCTCATGCAAGTGACAACATAAATCACATATGCATCATCGTCATTTATCACATTATACACATACATGAATATCATATTGTTAATATCAAGTCATCATAATCTTTTTCATCCACATCATCTTTCATATCATGCATATACTTAAACATCATGTACGTCAGTACAATCAAGCCATCATCATATGCATATAAACACATCATGCAAACATCATGTTAGGTCATTTTGGTAATTTCATAAGGATTTTATTCAAAACAAAACTTAAATACCAATACCAAGACATAAGGTCATTTTGGTAATTTTATAAAGCAAATACGTAAAGTATCGCTAAAATACCGATTTCCACATTGTAGGGTCATTTTGGTAATTTCATAAGGATTAGATTTAAAATAACACTGAGATACCAATTCCCAAAACATTTGGGTCATTTCGGTAATTTATGAAGCAAATACGTAAAGTATCGCTAAAATACCGATTTCCACATTGTAGGGTCATTTTGGTAACTAAACGGGATAAATAATCGAAATGAGGTCAAAGTTTGCATTTTTCAAAATACAAATAAACTTGATGAAAGTCTCATAAAGTTATTATGGAAAAAAAATAACTTTCTAAAACTTCAAAGGGGTTAAATGTTAATCTCTGAAACTAAAACGTTTAGTTAATATTAATATAATCAGTGCATCAGATTAGTACAACTCAATGTCAGCTTACTGGTTAGCGCTAAAAGCTTCAGGGCTGAGGTCGTGGGATCGAAACTTGCCCTCAGCATGCGTCCTATACTATTTTTCCTAAAGGTAGACGGACGTGGGTTTGGGCCTGGTCGACCCGGCCCGTCACCTAGGCCAAAACAGGGACGAAACAGAAGCCATGGCTGCTCGTTTTCAAGTTTAAAAAGCTTGAAAACGGCTCGTTTCTTGGTCTTTTTTCTTCATTCTTTTTGCACCAATCTCTTGGTAATATTTTTACAAACATTTTGGCATAAAGAACACGAATTTTCATCAAGAAATGAGTTCAATTTACTCATTTAAAGTTTTGTTTTTAAAACTAAAACTCAACAACTTAAAAACATAAAAATCGAACCACGAAAACACAAATATGAGACATGAGGCTACTGGGGTTTGATAGAGTACTTAAAAACCGAAGCCATAGACATAAAAACCAAAAGATTTGGTTAAGAATCTCACCCAAAATCAATGAAAAACCGAGATTTTTCAACCCGAACTTCAAACTCATATTTCTCTCTCAATAATCGCTCATTTTCTTAGCTATTTAAACCCAAACGTTCCTAAGCCAGTGCTCTACAATTTATATGCCAAGAGTTTTGGCTTATTAGTTGAAGAAATCAGACAAATCACGAGTTTTAAGCTAATGGGTCGTTTTCTTTAAACAGATGTGTACTGTTGACAAAACAGGTCCCTCATCTTTGAAGAAGATGACATTCGCCCCCTTGAACTTTCTGACATTTACAATCAAACCCCTCCTGACGTGATATCTTACATTTTTGGTCCAATAATTAAAAGAAAACACTTTTATTTTATTTATTTTTTTCTTTTTGTCTTTGTTTTCATAATTTATTTATTTAAGATTTATGTAATTATTTCCTTTAGTTTATTACGTAAATATTTTAACATTTCAAATAAATTTAAAAAAATATTTAAAGGCTCATATAATATTATTTATATATTTAAAAAAATGGGTTTTATATTTACACAAATTTTGATTGGTTGTACCATAATGTGTGAATAGTTGAGGTCTTAAAGTACTTTTTTCTGTCAATTTTACAGGCACAGAGTGGTCCGGTGGTCTGCATGTGTCTCCGACAATTGTCGGTAGCCGACCTGGGAGTTTGATTGCAGGGGCTTGGGCAGCCATGCTTTCATTAGGGCGAGAAGGTAACATAATTCTTTTACTCCGTCCATCCCATGAGAATTGCAACATGTTTCTTTTTGGCAAACTTTTAACATAGAATTACATGTTTACTCATTGTAAATACTACATACACCTTATTAGGGCTATTACTATCTTTTGTTTCGTTGTGTGATTATTGGAGTATATATAAGATACTTGGGATGAGATATGCACTTGATTGTTGCAATGTTGTGCAGAGTAAAAGAGATCCCAAAGTTGTTTATCATCGGAAGGCCAGATATGACGATTGTGGCTTTTGGCTCTAACGTGATTGGCATATTTGAAGTGAACGATATATTGCCCTCTAAAGACTGACATTTAAATCCATTGTAAAGACCCAACAAGTAAACTATTGACATGCTTGTTGGATATATATGGATCCTTATGTTGATCTACTTGTGTGTTTGTACGTGTATATATATGCTTATTTTGTTGCGTTAAATGGTAATTTGAAAATTACATGTTGAAACCATTTTTTCAGCATTCATATATGTGTGACCCTTCAACATGTACCTATTGTTGACAAATTTCTGAAAGATGTAAAGGATTAAGTGGAAACTGTAAGTTATTCCTAGAAAAATTTTCATTTGCTTTTGCTCGTGCGTAGCAGCAAAGTGGTGTTGGTTTTGGTTATTTAAGTGAAAGAAAAGCTTGGGCCAGTAAACGAAGGACTTGCACCGATATATGGTGTAGCTGGGAAGATCCCAGATAGAGGAATGGTGAACGGATTACTGTAGACTTCACGGATAATGCTTCCTGATGATGCGATTATATTTGTTGTGTGACATCATTCTTTGTCAAAGGAAATTGTGTTATATACCATAAGATCAATGTGTAAAAATGTTTGAAAAAGAATCATCTTTATCTGATGGT